CGGGGGGAAGGAGGGAGGGAATGGGCAGCGCGACAACCAGGTCGAGAGATACGATAGGTCGCGAGCTCGGGTGGGCAGGGCTGTACTGCTGCCTTCAATCATTCTTCGTTCGGCGCGTGCAAATGGTTGCACTTGTACGTTTTCTTCGTTGCAAGCGTTTAAGCCAGGCCAGAACGGGGGGCGGGGCGACGTGGGAGCCCAGGTGCGCAGACTGTACCGCTTTAGGCATCCCCAGTGGTTGGGATTGCATGGGCCTTTTATATGGAGGGATACCTTTCTGCAGCCTTATCACGCTGAGGTTTACTTGAAGGAAATCGTACAGGCTCTAGTGGAGGCCCCTTCCTTCCCGGCTGAGTAAAAACGGGTGTGACGTTTGCAGGTAAAATGCTTTTGGGAAGAAGCAGAAGGTACCCCAAATGGCTTTTCGCACGCCTAAAAATAAAAGCCATTTTAGCTCCCAAGACTGACATTCTAGTACACATTATAAACATGCTAAACCAGAGAATTTGGTGAAGGACTTGGTTGAAGTTGACCATCCGATTAAAGGGAAATTTTCTACAGTTGGACTGTAGTTCATTGGTCGTGAAGTATATTAAGCCTGCCATTTCCAGGTTGGAGTGAGAAGGTTTGCTGTAGGAAACTGGAAGAGTTAGAGGTGATACCTTTATTGAACTGATACCGGAGCAAAATGAAATTGGATTTTAGACATGACACTTGGGAGAGAAGACACAGGCCCTCCGGAAACCTAACCCTGAAACATTCACACCTGACCAAGAAGTATTTACAGCTGATGTAGAATAACAATGTAGCCCTTCTTCCTGGCCCCAACTACCTTTTGATGTAACAGATGGCCCATTATTGGAATGCTAGTAGGAGGAAACCAGCAATTATTGTTGTAACATTTCCAGTGATTTACAGCATGGGAGCAAGAGAGTGAAGGTCATATGTCAGGGCCCAGGAAGAAAACACATAAACATACCAATAGATAAGGGAAATAGATATACTCTTGTCCCTAGACTTTCTGGCACATCTTGGGCATAGGTCAAGGAAAGATGTTAGATAAGGGAAATAGATATACTGTACTCTTGTCCCTAGACTTTCAGGCGCATCTTGGGCATAGGTCAAGGAAAGATGGGGGCACATTATGCTTATTCCTAGATGAGAAATAGGTTAGCAGTAGAAGCTCTGGAGATTCAGCGCCAGTCAGTAGAAACAATACCATTCATGTGATTAAAAAATCCAGTTCTTCTACCAGTTTTTTGCTATCAGTAATTGAGCAGCTATTATCATATTTATAATCATCTCTTTTTTTAGTTAATTAGATCATGATTGTCTGTTAATAACAATGCTGTCTTTATTATGCTTCAGTGTTGACTTCCAATATTTCTCTAATTTTTTTTAAAAAGTCCTTTTGTATTATTTCACATTCCCACCAAAAGTGTAGATATGTGCCCAGTTCTTTATTACATCTCCAATCCACCTTGGAATATTAAATAGAGTCAGTCTCGCCCAGTTCTTTATTACATTTCCAATACACCTTGGAATATTAAATAGAGTCAGTCTCAGAAAGGAAATTGTTGAGATGATGAGATCCCTAAAAGGACAACAACATCTCACCAAATTTAGGTAGACGGCTTAGCATGATGGTGATTGCAGGTTTAATAAAGAATAAAGAAGCCAGGGTATCGATTTATTTATGGTATCTCTCCTCTCTATAGGAAAAACCTGACTTTTACACCTGGCATTATCAGTGGAGATGGATGAAGACACATAAGATGAAATTTCAAGGTGATAATACCGTTATAAGCAACAACAATATTATTGTCATTTTGAAATCTCAAAATGTAATCCTCTTCACTGGTTCTCAGCACTCAGAAAGTACACTCCTACATCAACCTCCGGCTAAATATTCACTCCATCTGTCTACAGATGTACATTGTCATTCATAAACAAATGCTCATGATAATGTAAACCTGTTAGCCTTCAAAATGTCACAATACTTTTGTTTTTATTTTTGTTTTACCATGGTTGCACACACTCAAACAGGCTAACAGTTCTGAAAAGTCTTCAGATTAGCCATTCATGGTCAAAGCAACATGGCCAAATTTTTACACAGTACAGTTTTCACATCTTTTAATTAAAAAAAGAAAAGAAAAATAGGTCGTAACAATTTTATTGTCTTGATGCTTTTAAGGAATAAAGAATAATTCCTTTTTCCCTGTGGTTTGCAAAGTAAAATCCTATTAACATGGGGGGGGGGAGTCCCTGCTGTTTTCAGTAGCAACGCTCGTGCAAGTGCAATCCAGAGACAACCTGGGTGAACCCAGAGTATTCCAGTCATGGAGCTCTCCAGCCAAACCCTGGATTGGTCAACAGAATTTTGGTAAGTGGAATTTACCTTAAGAAAAAGCAGAAACAACATTAATATAAAATGCAAAAAGTGCAGTGGTACGTCTTCATGTGGCAAAACAAACTTCATAGCATCAAATTTGAAAATTAAAAATTTTGGAAAACCATCTAAGTGCATAATAATCTTTTTTTCTTTATGAAAATCTCATTGTCTCATTCTCCCTTCCCTATTTTACATTTGTTCATGCCCTACAGTTTAGAAAGCAGCATGACACTGCAAAGTGACCATATTTCCAAATATCTTCTATGCCTCCTGTTGAACAGTAGTTGCATTAGATTTGTAGTGTTTCCATTATCGCGCGTTCCAAAAAGTACCCAGAAAAACCTGTAGATGGCACTCATCCCCCTGTATTACTATAGAACAAATTTAAGACTTAAGCTCATGCACAAGGTTACCTATTTTCAATGGATTGTTGAATGTCCTGTTTTTTTAAACAATTCTCAATAGAAGAATGCCCTGGGGTCTTGTTCATGCCAGTCTAGATTAGGATGCATGAAACAATGACAAAAGGAATGATGCTGCAGAGCAGATTTCAGTCCCAACTGCTTGAACCTTCTAGGTAGGAGCTGTGGTTCAAAAACATTTTTTTCAAGCTTTACATGAAACTGAACACCCACTGACCCTTTCTCAGTTTTGACTGAAGAAGAGACAGCCATTCTACAGTCTGTAGAGAATCTACATTAGTTAATCACCCTACTTATTACCAGGATGTTTACATAATCAGCACTTCAGAAGCTCATTACCTGTGTTAACAATGCTATTGTCACTTTTGAAAAACAGTTACATGTCCTTGCATTCTACTTCACTTTGTCCCCCACCCACACTGGAAGGGGATATACACCTTGTCTGGGGAAGCATGTTGTAATCCTGCTGAAATAAATCTGTTAGGGCAGAATCTTGGACCACAATGCATTCATTTTCAATTTTTTGTTATTCATTAGATGAACTCTGCACTGAAACATTTAGACCAGCGTGTGTTCCATCAAGCTGTATAACTTGGATCTGATGCCTAAATCAGAGTAATTGCACGATGACTGAAATCCTTTTGTTGTAATTTACACCATGCAAGACATGGCACCAGCAGAAGTGGTGATTCTTCTGAAATTAAACATTTCTGACTCCTCTCCTGAAGCTTGTGAGGCTGGCAGATGTCACGGGCAGCAATGTTTGGTAATTAAAGACTCCCCCCTCCTGTCCTGAAGCTTCCTGTCAATGAAAGGGATTACATAGGCGTCTCAGGAGGAAAGTTTAAAATGTTCAATTTCTGAACAATCTCAGGTGCTCATGATGTCATCAGCCTTACACAGCATAAATTATGGTGTTGTGGTAACAGGATTTCAGCCGATTTGTCTTAGGTATTAGAGAGGCATTTATATACTTTGTAAACTCAAATGAAGAGGAAATTTCTTCTCTCTGTGGCATGCTGTTTTATGGAAAGTTTTGCTCAATTGATTCTAATGAATTGGTCATCTTTCCTGCAATTCTTTGATTTCACTCTGTGGATTTGTTATTTTATGAACTGAAGTTTTATGTATGTATTTTTCTATTAATAATAACTAATTTTTTAAAAAAGCTTTAGCACAAGGGGCAAAATTTGGAGAAGGCATGTGTGTTATAGCACTGTCATTTCCTTATAGCCATTGGTATCAGTGAGTTGGAGAACAGTGTCACACTGAATTGCTAATATGAAAGAATATTGTGTCAAGATTCACCTGGAACAGGGCTTCTCTAGGTTAACTGGTGCTCTCTTGACAAATGTAGAGGAACTTTATGACTGCTGTTGGTGGCTGTCGGTAATATTACTGAAAAATACAAATGCAATGCCCTCTCATTCAGGCATTTTTATGCTACAGCACTGCATTGGTTGCTAGACTGTCATCACATACCACAGAATGGCACCTTCTCCTCTACAGGCAGTAGCATCAGACCAAGGCACACTACACATTGTTACATCATCATGTACTGTACTATTTTCCACTGTATTCCTTAGAATTTGAGGAAAGGCTAAAATTCAAATTCACAAAATATTAGAAATCCCTTGCAAGGTAGCTGAGTTACCATGTGGCAGCAAAAAACAGAGAATCTTGTGGCACCTTTAAAGATTTACATGCTTTATATAGCATAAGGTGCAGTTGGCACTATAGCCAACTTCCTCTGTACTTGAAGAAGTACCTGTAGGATAAATTCAAGAAAAACATTTGTGAAATAAAACATATTGATCGTCAAGGTGCCCCAGAAAACCTTG